CGGTTCTACGAGGGTGTCGATGGGTGCCTGGTACTCCCTATAGCAAAAAATACCAAGAAAGAGGCTTTTGCTGAAATGCGAAGGTCGAGGACTAATCATAAAACAATGGGCAACAAGTTGATAGTTTTATTTTATAAATTGTTGAAATTATTTTACTTTCCTTTACTATAAATACATTACTTCTAAATGATGTAGAATGTACGTAAAAAACACCAACTGCCATCACAGATTCTACGCATTTACTAATGTTACTCCCCGTTGGTGAAATCGTCTGGTCCAGGGACAGGGCAACTTTTTTGCCCCGTTTGTGGACTCACCGGTCAATCTGTTCGTTAATTTTAAATGCACTCCATACTAAATGAATTTTACAATTCATTAGTTTTTATTTCTCTCGCATTTGTTTTTGATACAAAATTATCATGATGAATAATGAATTAATCCATCAAAAAAAAAGGGGGCACTTAATGAAAATATTCATCAAAGTTTGAACTTATTTAAAAAGCTGGAAATTAGAATTTCCACGATAGTTAGCTGATCAGAGAGAGACATTTTTTTGTATGGAAATGATCAGGATGACAATGATTTTCCTACACCTAGGTACTCTGTTACGCGAGTGCTTTAACTAACGCAACGTCAACGCCCGCACTTTTCTGCCGAAAAGGTGAGAAAAGCAGGAGCGCCTTCAATTTTTGAATATGCAACACGCACATCCGTAGAACACGAATAGTTGCATCAAGGCGCCGTAATCAATTAAATCTAGGTTTCGTGAGGAACATTCGTCAATTAGCGAATGGATTGCGTTTAAAGTTAACGACTGCTCCTCTCGTCGTAATTTTCAGACTTTTTATTGGTCAGTCCGTGGACTCGTTTCACAGATTGGATAAGAACATCGGCCAGTTCGCGGACTTGGCAATGGGGTGGCCAGTCCACGGACTGTAAAATGAAAAATTGAATTTTTCAAGATCTGTTTTACTTCAAGGTGCTCATAAGTAGTAAGAAACAACGAAAAAAAAGCATGAGAACAGTTTTGCTGGAAAATATCAAGAAATTTCATGGCAAAGTGAAATTTTATGACAAGATCGAGAGGTTTCTTTTTTCTTGATTTTGCCTTTTTTTCTAATTTTCACGAATGCCAAGATATAGTTCACCAAAAATCCCAACTTGAAATGAGAGCAGAACTCGAAAATCAGTATTGAACCCGACGGTCGAACTCACGGGTATTTTTTATGTAGTTATTTAGGTATAAAATGAAAGGAAAATGTGTGACCTTGTGTTACTTTCAATAAATATGTGAATTGAATTACAAACAAACTTATGATAACCCATAGGATTGAAAGATGATACATCGAGCCACAAGCTAAAAGAACAAGAAATGCAATATACTAAATCACATGATGCTACAACTCCAAGCAAGAAATTGCCGAAGAAAAGATGACAAACAAACTGACTAAACACCAGACGATTCGAACGGTGTTATGGATCTTCTTCCATGGCATCCCCATGTACATATCTCACAGCTGGACCTTCCATTTTTTTTCTCTCAGCGTTCATTTGATATTCGTAATCGTCAGGTTGTTTTCCTGCCCGGAATTTGACACCCTACAACGACGAAACATTGCTCCCGCTCGGCTGGGCCGGATCGGAAAGCCCTCGGTTTTCCCTCGGCGAATCGCTCAATTAAAATGGCGCACGTTGGCCCGAAAGTGGGTCGTCACTCATGGCTTTGTTCTCAAGTGTATAAGGCCGCAAGGGATGAAATAGTATCACCAGCGATCATCATCATCTTTCCGCGTCTGGGCCTGGAGCGTCCCCGAACCCTTCTCACCCGCGACCCACCCCTCCCCCCGACCCCCGGACTATCTCGTCCGGTGAAATATGTTATGCACGGGGCACAGGGGGCGGGGGCCCAAGTGTTTTCATGCAACTCGCACGGCGTGGCGTGGCGTCGGCGGCGTCATCTCTAATTGAATCACATTTCTTTAGACGTTTATCCCTTGTTCCCTCGCGCTCTCCTCTGACGCGGCGAAACGCCATCCTACCATGTCACTCCATGTCTCCGCTTACTTCCGCGCCGCGCGCGACGTCCCTTCAGCTGCGTTGCCGGATTTCTGTCGTTGCTCAGCAGACGTATTCATGCTCGAAGGAACTACCCTAGTAGCAATGACCTTTAAACTCATTCGATTCTGGGTGAGACAGCCTGCTTCTGAGGGAATCGATTTTTGCAAATGCAATGGCATGGCTGAAACCTAATGTTCAGTGGCGAGGCGTGAATGATCGATTATCGATATTTTCCATTTCGAAGCTGAAGTAAAGAATCGATTATTATCGATGATATCGATTATTTATCGATCCTTTTCTATAGGTTTAAAATAAATATTTAGGAACTGTCTAATCGTTCGTATTAGGTGACCTTTTTTGGCTAATTTCTCATGGAAAATTAACGAGAGGTAGAATCGCATTAAAATTTAAGGTAAATGAGATTTGTAACCTTCTTTTTAAACATTTTTACTGTCGTAAAACTAAAGTTAATGTTTCGAGAGGTGTTTTTTAACACTTTAAATTTTACTTGCAAAGTAGTCAAAATTCTTTTCCTAGTGGAAGCATTTTGACAGTTCTTTTGAAGAATTGTTTTTTTGAATCGAAGAGTTTTTCAAAAGTTTTTTAAAAGTCGGTGCTGCTAGAGTAGAGACGGGTGGGAAAGATGGGGGAAAGATGTGCTCCAAAAAATGACATGGAAGTTAGTTTTTTATATTGAGCCGCATGAAGGGATGAAAATTCTTAACTTTGATTCGCCGATCCCACTCCAATTATCGTGTCGGTTTTTGCCTAAACGGAAAATAATTGCTAAATACACATCTAGAATGTAAAAATCTGCATGACGACTCTGGATTGTTGATATAAACTCTTTGGCTTTTAATTAAACTTCGGTAGGATGTTACATTAACAGGTGGAGCGATCTTATCAACATTCTGGAGTTGTCGCGTAGATTTTTAACATTCTGGATGTTAACTCAGTAATTTGTTCTCCCGCGCGGTCGGTCTGTGTAGATTGCCGAAAGGCCGAAGGCTGTAGTGTAAATTTGACAACCGAGCTTTGAACATTATCGTCCGGACGTTGCAGAGAATGTAGGTAATCCTTTCAGTCGCCCCTCGCGTAGACGCGTCATTTTTCCACCTCAAATGTTTAGCTAAGAGTAACAAATCTCTCCACGCACGACACAATGTTTCTGTGCCGTTTTTCACAGACAATCCGGAGGTAATGATTGGCGCATAACGCCCCCCTCTCACGACCCTACACCCCTCCTTGATGCGCAAAAAACGAGACACGGAATCATAAGTATTCATACTAATAATTACCTAACACTGCAAACTTTTTAGACGGAGGAAAAATATTTGCATGTAGTTCTCATAATAGTCTAGTGAAGATTGATTTTTTAAGAGCTTAGCTGATAGCGAGCGGTTTTTTTTTCAACTCGCTACCAGTATACTAGAATACTACTGCTGCCTGCAGAGATTCACTAGTGTCAGCTCATTGGCAAAATGGCGGGACAAAGCCTCAAATTTTAAGAGGATTAGCCATTTATTTCGTTTTAAATGTTTTCCTCAAAAAGCCATGGAGAGTATAATTAATTGTTCTCCTTAACCGCTAAAAAGTGAGGTTAATTTTTAAACCGAATACCTCTCACCTTTTCTAATTTTATTTGGAATTTATAAAGAAGAAGAAGAAAAAACTTTGCTTTGATGTTCCATAATAATATTTACGTGATAGTGGTAGTAAAATGGTTAAAATTCGCGTTCCATTTAAAAAGTTAATTGGTTGATTACTCCAGACTGTTTTAACGTGAGAAGTCAAGCGATTAGGATAAAATTTAATATTCAGAACTCAAAGGGAATAAAATTTTAAAAAATCGTAAATACTTCAGTTTCATGGGAAAACACGTGTATTAGCGCTATTCAAGGGGGATGGCAGGTGAGCACACTTGGAATCGAGTGTGCAGCACACATTCATATTTGTCTGGAAAACCATTCGTAGCTAATTTCGATGCAAAACATGAATTTCCGATGTGGATCTAAATTTTGGACCTAGATCAATTTCGAAATTCGCACCTGGAACATTTATTGCCACCCCGGCACAAATAAATTTGTGCTCAGTACGTATAAATCGGTGCTGGGCATGAATCAAGCTGGTGTTTGACTATTACAATCCGAGTCTCTACGCGGCATGAATAAATCTGCCAGTACAATCCAGATTTACTTGCGTTTGTGCCGCACGTACCCAATTTTAGGTTTACAGTGCTTATATTTTTTTCTAGTGTTTGATGAAAACATCGATGAGTATAAACCACTGTTTCTACGAAGAGAGATACTCGCGTTTGACGGATCAACTGAACTGCTAATTTGTTTAATTGTCTATGCCTCGTATTTCAAGTATTTAAAATAATTATAGTAAATCATTTTAGTATTTAATATCAGTGCTACAGGAATTTTCAAAAATGTATCGAACTTAGCGATTGAAGCATTAGTAACTTATTGCCAAGCTTAACAAATCCAACTCGCACAGTTTTCCCTTAGCGCTTGCAAGGCTTGATTCTTGCACCGGCCGGGGGTCGAAACAATCGCGAAGGTGGTATATACACACACGTACGTACATTACATCGTATATTGTACTTGCACACGCGACTGAAAACTAATGTTCTTTGATGATACCCTTTTCCCGCGCAGAAATTTAGAAGTGGAACACAAATTGGCAAATTTATCTTTAAAAATCGGCATCTTAACCAATACGCTACAGGTAATTTTTGTATTACTTTTCATGGATATGTTTCAAGAATTGTAGAAGTTTCTCTGCATATCCTTAAACGGCAACTAATTTAATTCGATGGTACATCTTTAGTATTTAATACATGCTCTGTATAAAATGTAATTTGTAATTTGTTTACAACGCCGATGAATGCACTTATTTCCAAAATTTTTATGTGTTCCTTTTATGTTTGTTCACAGATTCATAATGGGCGGATGATAACTTACTCAGAAATAAGAGGTAAGCTACCCATGATTTCTCAACATTGCTTACTATTACGGATAGACAGAGAAATAATTAAAAACCATTGAGTAAATAAAGGAAAAATTGTCAAAATGTGCACAGGACGTTTTGAGATTTGGAATCACAGCAAACGAGAAACGGTTGACTAAAATGCAAAACCGTGTATCTTCAGTGCGGTGTTTCATAATTTCCGCTCTTGTTTTATTTTTTTGCAAAACCATTCTAACTCAATAGCATGAATTTAAACAGCTTATTCTACGGACAGAGAAGAAAAATCAAAAAAGTTTTCAAGAAATTACGTTGACTGGTTTTTCAAAGAAAAAATAAAGTATAACAGGAATTTTTCGATCCGACGTCAGGAATGGAGGTACTTACGTGGTTTCGCACATGCCATCAATATGTGATTCGGTAGTCTCACCATCGTTCTGGGTAAACGACGAAGTATGGAATTACTCGTAGAGAGAGGAAATTGCCGCTCTATAAGTATCCTTTAATGCCTCTGAAAAATGTGTGCACATCCTCAAAAGTCCTTGATTCGCTAAACATGCGTAACTCCTCCAAAAGCCCTTGAAAGCTCTCTACTTCAATTTCAAAGAACCATCATGATACTTGCCGACGAATGACTCTGTGATGGCTGGAATAGTCTAGTTTTGAATTGGACCGCGTCTAGCAGAAAGGAACGAAACCAACCACTCCAATCAATGCCAAATTTAACTGGCCAATTTAATTTTTTGCAAGAGAACGTTTGTGCGGATTCCTTTAAAAATTTTGAAGAATTTGCTTTGCAGTAAATTGCAGAAAATTTGCCGAAATTCGCAGAAAAATCCGCATAACCGTTTTCATGTAAACAATTAAATTGATCAATACATCTCAAATTAACACCTACCTTAAGCTCTGCTTCTTATGCAACATTTTGCGAGAAACACAATGGCGCCACTGGTTTTTACTGAAACGAACTCCAAAGCTTTAAAAAAGCTCTCAAAGTTGAGGCCGCAGTGGAGAGAATATCCCTCGCTATCATGAGAGTCCACCTCTATATCAAAACAAACTCTTTATGCAAAGATAGGGAGGAAATACATCAGCAGGATTGCCGTGTTTTCAGCTTTGGAGTCTTCCAACAAAGCGTCAACCCTGTTAACGTATTTGCTCCCTGTCCTTTTATAAGGAGTTTATCTTGATACGGAGGTGGACTCTCCGGGTAGCGCGGGATATCCCCTCCTTTACGCGGCCTCAACTTTGAGAGCTTTTTCTGAGCTTTGGAGTTAGCTTCAGAGAAAACCAGTGGCACCATCGTGTTTCTCGCGAAATTTTGCATAGGTAGCAGAGCTTAAGTTAGGTGTTAATTTCAGCTGTTATGAACACTTTAATTTTTTACCTGAAAACGATTGTGCGGAATTTACTGCGAAAGGGGAATTTTCTGCGTAGTGCGAAGCAAATTCCTGAACATTTAAAGGAATCCGCTCAAACGTTCTCTTGTAAAAATTTAAATTGGCCAGTTGAATTTGGCATTAGCTGGAGAGGTTTGGTTCCTTTCTGCTAAACGCGGTCCAATTCAAAACTAGAAAACGCCAGCCGTCGCCGAGTCGTTCGCCGGCAAGTATCCTGATGGTTCTTTGAAATCAAAGTAAAGAGCTTTCAAGGGCTTTTGACGGAATTACATAATTAGCAAAATCAAGGACTTTTTGAAGATGTGCAAACGTTTTTCAGAGGTATTAAGGATCTAAGGGATACTTATAAAGCGGAAATTTCCTCCATATACATTATACAAGTAGGTAACTCCATAATTTGTCGTTTCTCGCGAAATTGTACAAAGAAGGCAGTGCTTAAATCGCAAATGGAGATGTTGCATGTGTGAGGAATTTACGATTTGACTGTTGATTTTTTTGTATAAGTTCGCAAGAAACACGATGGTGCCACTGGTTTTCTCTAAAATTCACTCCGAAGCTCAAAAAAAGCTCTCAAGTTGAGGCCAAAATGGAGGGGATATCCCACTTTATCCTGAGAGTCCACGTCTACATCAAGACAAACTCTTTATGCAAAGATAGGGAGCAAATACATTGACAGGGCTGCCACTTTATTTGGGGACTCTAAAACTGAAAACACGGCAACCCTGCTAATGTATTTGCTCCCTATCTTTGCATGGAGAGTTTGTCTTAATGTAGACGTGGACTCTCAGGATAGCGTGGGATATCCCCTCCATTTTGGCCTCAACTTGAGAGCTTTTTTTGAGCTTGGGAGATGATTTCAGAGGAAACCAGTGGCACCATCGTGTTTCTCGCGAACTTTACATAAGAATCAGTGGTCAAATCGCAAATTCCTCACACATGCAACTTCTCCATTCCTCACACATGCAGGAGCTTTTATTAAATTTGGCAATGACAGATAGGGCTTGGTTCCTTTCTTCTTAACGCGGTCCAATTATCGCGTGAAACTTTCTTAATTTCCCCCAAACGAGTAATTCGCATCGGCTATGGCGAGTCTCGAGGCGGTCACGGTGCGGTGATCCCTGGGCAGTGGTGAACCGCTTCTCGCTTGGTGTGTCGTCGCGGCGTCGCGCTTAATTAATTCCTCCGGGCTGCTCCGCCGGCCGCTCCGGTGCGGCGCTGCGCTCCGGATTCGCGGATCTTTAATTTGCGAACTTTTACAATCAGTCTAACGAAGATTGATCATTCTCCGGGAATATGCACCGCGGTGCGGCGTGTCCCGTCGCGTCGCAGCCAAGAACAAGGAAACATTTTTAAAAAGAAATCCGCCCGGAACCCGAGTAAATTTGCCACGAGCTGAGTCCGGAAAATTTTTAATCAAGTTTCCCGTCGTGCCGCCGGGGAAAATTCCAGATTAAGATCCCTGGGAATTCCTGTCGGGATCGGCGTCGGCGCGGGATTTAATTAAAAAGTCCCCGGATGCATTAGCGCAGTTGCTAGATCTTGTCCACGAAAAAGGCATCCCATTTCTCATTTTTGATTGTTATGAATTTTTTCATGTTTTCGACTCTAGTAACAATGGAACTTCTACTAAGATCCTTCCAACTTGAGGTCTCCTCAAAATGCACACCACGCGTTTCAAGACAGTTTCAAGGCGGAAATCTTAATATTTACAATGTCAGTCTACATTAGAATCTCATTGGAATCACTTTGCTGTCAAGGAGATATATACTGTCTTTGGCTCATGTATAAAGTCACCTATCTGCAAACGAAAACTAAGGGCCAGTATGGTGTTCATATAATGAGCAAAAAATAGTAGTTCCTTACTAACAAATGCATGGGAAAATAAGTTTTAGCGGTTATCCCCTAAAATTAAAGTACGAAGCCAATGTTTTAGATGATATGGAGATTTCCAATTAATTATGGTAGTACCGCAACATTTAGGTTAGTAACTTAATGCATTGGGGTACCACCACAATTAATTGGAAATCTCCATGTCATCCAACAGCCGCTGCCCACGTATAATCCAATTGATCTTAAAAGTTTCACACAAACTGATTGTAGTAGACGCACGGGTTGTAAGACAGTAAGGTGGAATTTTCCAACTTACTGTAAAAGTTTCAGGAAAGGTTTGTAAGTAGGGCAGAATTCTAAAGGATTTTGACCATCTTCCTGGCCTGTTAATTTCCTGCAGAAACGGGAATTTTTGAAATAACATGAGTAATTTGAAAACGCCATTTACATTTTAAAGTCCATACCGCAGTTCAGATTGCGTAGTTTCTTGCACCCGGGAACACTCTTTTCTTCGTTGTTGGCAACCAGGTCCGACTAGCGAGAGACGTAAGAAACCTTAACCAAAATATACAATCTCGCAAACTGTTTATGATCTTCTACACTGGTGAATCCAGTCTTCTAAAGAAATTGGGGTTGCTTTCTTGTTCCATGTATTTAGAGGAAAAACTTATGCTTTGAAACCGCAGATATCTCAGTGAGAAAGATTGATAAAACTTCGCAAGATTGTTTGAGTTTGTTTCAGTCAAAGCCCGATTCCTGGTCAAATCCCGAGAATGTAGAATAAAGAGGATAATTTTAGGGAGGGGGGGGGATATTGATGCAATGGACCTTATAAACCACTTTTTCTCAATGAGCCATTTATTTCCCTTTTCTGCGCTTTTTCTCCAAAGCAGCCGATTCCATTTCTTTTACGCTGCGCCTTATTAAGAACGAATTGGCAAGCTAGCATAATTCTGAATCCTGCCGGGATCACAAGTTTTTGTTGGACATCAAGTTGTGTCTCTCCACTTAAGTACATTACGATTTGCAACAGGTGCTCAAATCCGGAATACCTACAACGCCTGTTTTCCTTACAACCCCTCTGGACATCTCGCTCCCTCCCCGGATTTGTCTGTCTTTTTCCTTAGTTTAAATTCAATAAACTTTGAGCACAGTGGAAGTAATAACGGATGCAAAGATACTGGAAAATTTACTGGGTTAAAGTCATGATTATCCTCATCATTCAAACTCCTACCTTTTCACCTCCATCCTTGTGCAAATGAACTACGTACCTTTAAATTGGTCTGACGATGAAGTCACTGAAACTCTGTTGGATCTCCAGAACTTTCATGGAATTTTAGAGCATGCATACTAATGGAGAATTCGCACGAAAATTTTTTATTGCTTCATCTGAAAGTGCTTAAAGAGCTGATTTCACAGTGTTTTTTATAATTTTCTTCAGATGTGGGAAATGCTTTGAGAATAGATTTAAAAGTGAGAAAATGCACCGCCTAGTGACGTCATCTAGCGGCATTTCCCATTTAAACACATGTATCTTAGCAGAATCGGTTATTTTGTCATATTTCCACTATTAATTACTCAATTTATGAATTAAGGGTATTGCCGTGTTCAGTTCACATAGTAGATTCCACTTTCACACGAGATTCATGTTCAGACCCTTGCAAATTCTCTATTCAGATATGTTTTATCGTTAATTTTACATTTTAGCCAGGAGGAAGAAAGCGGGCTCCATAACGTTTATATTTTATCAATTTTTACGTTTTTTAAAAGTCCAAATTT